AGGAGGTATTTGAACGCGTTCATTGTTCGAGGTATTCGATCCGGTGGGTTTGAAGTATTTGGACTCGTGTTTGTTGAATGAGAATTGCTTCGAGTAATTAGATTATGGTTTATAATGGAGGCGGGGAGTCAGTTTTCATTTTCAGCGATCCGAGCTGCGTTCGACTCGTTGCGTTTGTTTAACGTATTCGCTGGTTAAGTCCTAGTGTTCTGAAATGTTCGCGTGCGATTTTTGTAGCGGGATTCTTTCATTTGTGCGGGGGAAATAGCATTATTACCGTTGCAGAATGAAATTCATGGAACGAACGCCTTTTGTTCAGTTTGAAATAAATTGCGTTTAACTGTTGCCTGAAATAAATATAAAATTTCCACCTTTGCGTTGTATTATTGTGCACTTTTCATGCGTGCATTACGCGTCGGCAGCGGAAGATAATAACGAATTTCACTGCATCGTACGATGCCTGGGCGAGGGCCACCATTACCCGACCCTTGACAACCAATTAGCTTAAGTTCAATTTATCCTCCCATCCTCGTGCCTCATATTTTTCGTATTCCCTTTTCATTACAGGGACACCCGAGAAGCAAAAAATCTTAACCAATTTCCATCCCCTCGTGCTGCACATTTTAATTTCCGTTTTAACAAATACCTCCTTAGTGTACTTGACCGCGATCTTCATTCGCGTTCGTAACAAAAAATTCACGCAAGAGAACGATAACTTGGAATCATAATGGAAATTATATCCTTGTCGCGAATCGTATTACGCTTGGATTCATTGAAGAACAGCGAATCGGTGGATCTGAATTTCAAGGAGGAAGACGAGCGTTAGTAAAAATTCGTTCGAGGAGAAACTCGTCCCGGCCGTGAACGAGATCATCGCGTTTATTGCACGTAAGTGCGGAAAATTGAAAGATGAGGGTTAATTGCGGCTCCATCGTTCCCGTTAATTCGTTTCGTTCTCGCCGCGCCTCCTATTCCTCCGCGGAGTCGGAAGAAACGGCTTTGTCGCTGGGGCACAATGCATTTGACTGCGATACACGTAGACTAGGACGCGTAATTTTAGATTGGCACGAGAGCGCGCAATTTGTTCGATCAATTTCACAATATACCTTCCAATTCGTCGGCGGATGAGCGAAATTTAATTCGAGCAATGCGTAACCGATCAAACAAAAGGCGGCGAAAAAAACAAAGGGTGCTGATTTCATTCACGGCGAAGGGGAATAGAAATTCATACGCTCGAATTCCTTATTCACTCGCGACAATACCTTCGACAACTGTTACCCTTCGTTCCCGTCCGAACGTGGACAAGAAACGGTCCATTGAACATTGAAACACAATTTTTCAAATTCGGAATAATAGTTTACTCGTCGAACGAGGAAACTTTTCCTTACGGTTCCGAGCACGAGAATCCTCGAATGATAATGCACGAACATTCGAATCACTTTGGCAAAATTCCATTCTGTTACTCGAATGAAAATAATCTCTAAATGCATCGTCGAACTACCCTTAACTTAGTACACTCGGGTTTCGATTACTACACGAATTTGATTTCAAGCAAATTTATTTGTCTATGACCGAAACACTTTTAAAATCATCGAACGCGCGCTATGGCTATGAACGCTATTTGATTACTTGTTCGATGTCGAGCGATCTTCGATTTCCTGCTTAGATAAACGTGCGAGGACTTGAACTTGCAATTAAAGTCGTCACATGTAATTTAATGAACCTGGCGAATTAAAAAGAACACAATTTTGATGCTAACCGAAAAATAATCTTTAATTTATATTCGAAGAGAACGAAATAACACTTATAATTCTCAAATTCGGTTTAAAATCTTTCTTCTCTGAGTCTAACACGATGTTGCAGATCAGTGGGTTAACAATCACGAAAGAATAAACTCGCGAAATGTTTCTATGATTTCTCGAAATTTCCCGCGAGGCTACGATTACCGCGAGCGATCAAACATTTTCGAGCCGCGTGTATTTCCCGGAACGATCGACTAATCTTTTCTGACCGCGCGTTGCAATCATGTGATTCCGCATTTGTTATGTAGATGGGAGTGCGGCTGGTTTCGGTATGCATTCCTCCGGTGTGCGTTCGTGTGCGCGAGCCCAGATTCGCCCCCGCATACGTGATTATTATTAAATAGAACGTGAAATGCATGGAGCCCGCGTGGAAAAAGGCAAGTGTTATCTGCGCGTTCAATTACCGATTGACGGGGCCGATTAATTTTTACGTATTCAAGAGCCATCGAGGAAATTGGCCGATGCTTATCGGTGGCAAACATTTCCCGTATACCGCGCAGACGAAAATTGCGGGGCCAAGTGGCCCGACCTAAAAGATTCCGATTAATTGGAATTTAATTAACTCGCCCTATCTCTTAATTTCGCGTTGTTTCCTGTCTCTGTTGGCATTTATAGAGAGCGAGAACGCGGCGCGTCATGATCATTCAATATCGAATAATAGTTGGAGGATCGTTTCGTTGATTGAAAGACACGTGATGTACAATTATAGACATCTGAAATAGGATGAACACGTTTGGTAACATTTATTGGGGTTAAAGGTGGTTCGTGTCGTGTCATGGCGCGATACTTACGATACTTATGCGATGCTAGTGGGAAACATTTCAGTACAAAATGTTGGAGTAATGTGGTAAAGAATCGAGAACACTGGAGTGAAGTGTTACACGTGAAAAATATTTAGATTCAATGTTACAGAGAAAGATATTCAATCGTGAATTATTTTCACTTGGTTCAAGTGGGAATGGTCAGCAGTGAGCCAATACGATAGTTAGCTTTTACTACGAGTAGAGAGAGAAAGTAATAGACAGGCGTATTAGACAATATTCATACAGGTGAGTAATATTCAGAAGTGGACAGGTATAGTGAACACTGTTTAGCGAAAGTGAAAACAGTCGACAGTAAACAGACGCATGGGCCAGTGTTCGTTTCGAACAGAAAGAGGAAATAGTGGACAGACTCTTCGACCAGTCGCAATTAAAAGCACGCGCGTGCGATACGTCTTTTAATTTGATTTGCCCGGGAAGAATACTTCAAAGGAAACGTGTTACTCCATACTTTCCATTTATCCTTCTCCGTAAAATTATTCGTCTCTTTTTGTCGGTTAACTCGAGAAAGTGGAAAATAAAAAAATTTCCTGGCCGATTCGATTGATGACGTTTTATTATTCATTTACGTTTCAATGTTGATTTTATTTTAAAATACGATACCTACATTTTTGTTCGTTGAATGCGAGTATTTAAAATATTCCCGCCGAAACCTCAACAAACCGAAAGTTCGACGTGCTCGAGTAATTTCCCGGAGCGAGTGAGGTAAAGAAGAATGCAAAACGAACGTGTAATACGCCGATTAAGTTAAAACGGAACGAATTCTGGTAAATTTCATTCAGTTTATAGCCATTCATTGAGTGCGCCGCGTCTGTGGCCTAAGGCAATTCACTTCGCGCGCACGCGATCTTTTTCATTAACAGATAATGATTGTAATTGCCTGTCACGTTCTCTCCTTTCGATTTTACGACGTACGGAAAACATTCCGAGCGTTTCGAAATACCGTCGAACAGCTCCTGGTAGCAGATTATTTCTCGGTAACACGCGTTGAAAACTTAAGGATTCTATTAATCAGTCCTCTAATTAATATGTCTTCATGAACACCCTGCGTCACGTTCAGCTCGTTGGATTCCAACCCAACCACTTCAAGTGGTTGGAATAACAATCAATATAATAATAAACAATAAAAGAACTGGAAATTCTTCTTTAACAAACAAAAAAAGTACACCATATTACTCATTCAATTTCTATTTCTCAATTACACGTACAATCTCCTCAGAAATCACAAACAAGATACAATCCAACAAACACCCACACAAAATCTCAATACGAGAATCTGATCGAGTCTCACAATCTTCAAAAAAATCATAAACAACATCCACCGAACTCAAACAAAAACATAAGTCGAACCCAGCAACGAAATCTAACAAAATCTAAACTCATCCTTCCCAAATAATAAACTCCTAAAATCAGTCATCATCCATTTAGCTACCTCCTAGTCCTGCCGATGAAACATTTCGCAAAAGAAATGCATCATTGATCAATATAGATGGCAGGCATATTCTGCGCCACAGCAACGAGAAGGGAAGACATCACGCTAGAGGACAGGGTTGATAGACAGCGCCAGGTAACGGCGGGCACCGTGTCCAGGTTCACGTAACCCCAAAGTTGCGTGGCAGCGTAGTGTTACCACTTTCGTTCCCTGCCACACAAATTGCGTATCGGGTGCGTTTACATCGGGAAAGATGAAAAGAGAGAGCGAAAATAGAGAGAGAGAGAGAGAGAGAGCGAGAAGGAGAAAGGAAGTGAGCGAGGCAGCTAGCAGGGGTTGCAGGGGATGCGATACGCTGCGGCACAGAGCAGCAGCTAGCCGCGACTTCATTCCTCACGGCGCGGCGCGAATCGATAAACGGCGACCATCACGCAACACACAAACTCATCCTCACCGACCACCCCCGACCTCGGCGACCGGGTGCACCACCATTCCCCAGATCGTACGGTGTGCCCGTACGCTACACATCGCGTGTCATTAAAGCGGACAGAGCTTTCGGCTGCAGCCCAACCCTCGACAAGGACGTAATAATCTCACCCCAGCTATGAACCGATCCGAACGTCAATCTTTCCTTTCCCCGCAGATCCATCTAACTTCCGCTCCCGGGGCCGTTCCGAGGGATTACAACGGAAGAAATAGTCTACTGTCAGGGGTCGGATAACTTTTTTCCTTTCCGCCGGGCAAGATATTAGATATTTCTCGGCTTTCAGGGCTGAGAAGCTGGATCGGGTCTAGGGTCGACGTTGTCTTATACGAGGAGACGCGAGACGGAGATTTTCGTGAGATTGATACTGAACTACAGGACTTGCTAATTTGTAACTTCCCCGGGACATATGAGAAATGGATATTCTCGAGTTTTTGAGAGTTTTCGGGCAGTACTTTGTCGGAGTTTCGATTTTCGAAGGAATTTTAAAGATGTCAGTCACGTAGGGGATGATCTACTGTGTGGAAGAAGAGTGAATTCCGAAGCACGAGACGGGTGTCCCGATCGAACTTTGAATTTGCGAGAAGCAATAATTGCGATTGTGGTCTAGGGTCGTGGCGCTTCGAGGGGTACGAAGGCGGTTCATCTGGCTCCAGCAGGAAAGATGAAGGGCGAAGCTATTATCAGGGGTGGACGACCCGGATAAATTGCATCGTCGCCTTTTAATTAGTCCATTCGGCTAGGGTGATTTGAAGATTCGCTTGATTGTCCTAGCCGCAAGGAAGTTTTCCCTTGAGCGTTTCTTAGCTAAATGGATTATCCGAGCCCGTCAATGGGACTTTTAGAAGGTACAATCCCGAAGAATTAGCGAGGAATAAAGGCGGCCAAAAGGGATCTTCCCACTGAATCAATTTCACGGTGATTGTGTTAACTACTGGGCCAATGATACGCAATTTTCAAGCGATTTCGTCATGATATTATTACATGGCATTGACCTTGGTCGAAAATTACGCTACGTTCAGTTCTTACGAGCTTCGAATGATCCATTCTAACGCTGGCAGTGCCGAGCTAGCGAACTGGCCCGTTTATAATAATCTATGAAAATCACAGAGATATATTTATTCAAATTAAACGCGACTTTTGCTACAGTTTCACTTAGTACAGTTGTACTTTTAATAATTGTTACGAAGTCAGAAGTGGGATATTTTAGGGTACTTCCAGGAAATGTGTATGAAACAAATTCCTTGCCGCCGGGGGAGTCAAGTATTTATTAAAACCCTTGCAACAATGATGATGAGGGAGCTAGGGGGTTTGAGCACCACTCTTAGCGGTCTGTTGAACTGCACCCTAACTTGCGAAGGTGCTCCAATGAGTGGTTTATATGCCTGGGTGTTCATTTACGGAAGACACTAACTGGTCAGGAATTCCTCTACGAAGTTCAAGGTGCAAATTGTGTGAAATTTTGTGTTTACGAAAAGAAAATTGAAATCTGTATTCGTTCTACATCTACCGTCACATACGACTAGATAATATGTCTGTTTATAGTCGAATGTCTATACTTGGAATAAACTGTGGCGACAATACAGTCTTATCCATTTTTTATCGATCTTCCTGTCCAACTGCAACTTTGTATGTAAGTCGCGTTGAAAAGAACTGATACCATACGACCGACAATCTTCCTAAACAATAACATAAGTACACGAAGAAAATACTGGGCAGACATTTGAGACAATCAATAAATACAACTGAAAGAAACATACGTTATTAAATTTTACAATTCACATTTTTGAAAATTTTATGCCATCGAAACTAGATGATGCTGTATATGAGATATACTTCTATAAAATACTCTTATTAAACGTTCCTGTATTTCTTGTTCGTTTTTTGTTTATTACAATTACTTGCAGACGTGCACGAGAAATGAAGGAATAATTAACTTTTATAACCGGTTCCGTAACAGCTTTTAATACGGCAAAATTTGATGCTGAAAATTTGAAAAACCGAGAATACGAAATGTGAAGAACGTGACAGATTTACTAAAAGAAAATGCATTCGAAGCAGGTATCCAGGAACGAGGTTATTCTAGATCGCATGCAATAGCGGTGAATGCGAGCCATTATCATTTGCATTCATAATAGTTGGAACGTACTTAGACACAATCACTACTTCGAATAATATACAATGCACGCGTACATATCTCAGAAGTACAATGGATAAAAACAATTGTCCGCCATTAACATAGATAAACTGGCGCAAAGTGTAAATTGCATTTTCAGCTTTTATTTTTCTAGTAATTCCCTGCTACCCCCGTGATAATTTAATGGTTTACATTATGAAAATCATCCCCATTGTTTCCTCATGCCCACTGTTCCTTGTAACATTGTAAATCCATGAGAACCATTTCTTCTAAGTTGAACAAAAATACAGAAAATTGTTTACCTACATTATAGTAACATTATCTTTTCCAAATCTAATTTATTTAACATCACATTTTTCAGATAAATTGTAACTTGATGGAGAAAAGAATAAGTAATTTAAAAATTCATATATTCCTTCGTGCATACATGCAGCATATATTTTTAATAATTATTTTCAATTATACTTTCATATACAACAAGTATACCTTTTGTATTTGTTTGTATGTTTCTGACGATGGCTAATAAAAAAATAATCGATATAACGGAAAATTTCAAATTGCGCGAGAAATTCGTACTTACCGGCTGCCAATCTCCCATGAATTCCCCACCATAACTTCCCTATGAATCGCCCACATAAGATTCTGGTCCCACACCGTTTTCACTCGCCTCCTACTTATCTACAACCAACAAATTTGAATTACCGAATTGAATCTACGATACATAACAAAAATTCAACTACTAGTGTTATTAATTTTATTATCAGAAGAATGTATTACCATGTCAAATACAATGGAAACTAACTCATCGCATTATCCCCATTTTTCTAACCATTTTAAAATAAACTATCGAAGACAGCATTTGACGCAAAATTAACTTGCATATCATAAAGTAATAACAGAAATACACTTCCATTTTTAATAAAAGAAACTTTGAAAATACTGTGACTCACCAGTGGGCACATCGTTGTAAGTAGTAAAAATCGGAAGAAGCGATAGAATTTATCACTTGGTGGTCATATTTTCATATTCCGTTGAAAGTCACCTAAACAATAAATAATACGATTAATAACAGAAACCGTAACGAATAACAATCTAAAATGTATGGATATAGGTACTTTGTTGCCGGAAACGACTGTGATACCAAGAATTCCTAGAAAAATTGGAACGAGGATGCTGCTGCGATGAAACCCGGAGAACGCCATTCCGCGACAACGAAAAATCGTCGAAAGTTTGGCGCGAAAATGCAGTGCGCATGCATGAAAACTGGCGGCCTAGATGGAGCCAGCGGCGCAGTGAAAACAGAAACCCAAACCGGTCATGGAGGCTAGTTAACGACTGTGCGCCGCGCTTGCGAATAGTAATTTTCATCGAGATATTGTGATTTTACGCGGACGCCAGATATTCGAGAGGAAGATCGCCGGTTTAAACAAAAATGGGTGCATACTTGTCAGAACCGATCACAAAGAAAGTGTCCAGCGACCAAGTAGGCAAGAATGTCGCGTTCGGCGCGAGTTCCATGCAAGGCTGGCGAATTAGTCAAGAGGTAAGCTAAAACCCTCGAGCGGCCAGTGCACCGTTACCCAGTTTCGTTTCGGTCAGAGAACGGTTTGCCGGTTCACCGTTTCGCCAGGGTATTACGACATCCATCCTGATCCATCGCAAACGTAATCCACCTATGTCTGGGAGCGCGAAATTCAGTCTATTCGATTCGGCGACACGGAAAATCCTATGTTGAATGTAACGGGAATGTTTCAACGATTTGCGTGTGAACAAAACCATAAAGGGCACTGTTACAAAATTAACGACGTCCAATGTGACGTTCGAAGGTTGATTTTAACAGAAAAGTTCGTACGGACCGTGAAAATTTTTCTGTTATATGCAAATGCTTCGATTCGCTGCTATATTTTATGCAAATTTTATGATGCTTTTCTGTCACACTCTGTCAAAATAGGAGAGAAATATAGCTGTCAAAATTACTAAACTGCTCGATGAATTGGACTAGACCCCTATGCTGATTTCCTCTGAACAATAGAACTGAAGAATATGAAATATTATTTTATGGAACTTTGTCTTGTTGCAAATTGTATTTGAAGCCATTGACTTTTTAGAATATTCTGTTTATTGTGTGTACACCTATTTATCATTAGTGGAAATGTTTATTCGTACTAATAGGGTAGAAGATAACCTTATTTATGCAATGTATTAATGATTCCAAAATGTTTATAAAATTGAAGAAAATAAATTTTAGTTAAACAAAACTTATAAATTATGAGATAGAAAGCACAAAAGGAAAAGCTAATTAGTAGAAGTTTGAGATACATTACAAAACACGTTCAGGACATAATTATTTGTTTATAGGATGCACATAATTGTTGCATAGATTTCGATGAAAATGTGTCCTTGTTCGCTGTATATGATGGTCACGGCGGACATGAAGTGGCAACATATTGTGCAAGTAATCTTCCAGATTTTATTAAACAAACAGAGGCATACAAAAGAGGGGATGTTAAACAAGCCCTAATAGATGCCTTTTTGGGATTTGACGCTACGCTTGAAAAACCTGAGGTAGTTAGCATTCTGAAAGAACTTGCAGGAACATCCACATCAGATAAAAAGAAAGACGACTTACAAGAATCTGGTGCGTTTCTTTTCATATTAAAACTGTAGTTTCTTATGAATTATGTTTATATAAATTATATCATCAATAGAATGCGGATTTATATGCAAATCTCAATTTTCATAAATTAGTTTCCAGAGATTAGAATGAAAAATAATTTTACGTGAAGGCTTGGTTAAATTGTGTCAAAATTATGATATGTTACACACTTGCATAACATAAATGCATAAAATCCACAATCTAAGCATCACAAAACACCTTCTAATCATTCGTTTGTTCCAACCACCTTTTTTTTTATATACATACATGTTGAATAAAGTTGTTTGCATACATTATATTGTACATAGATGAAGAAGAAAATGTTAATAATCTGTGTATGGAGGCAACAATGCCACTCGAAGAAGTAATGGCAAAATATCAATCAGAATCGAATCCTAATGTAAAAAATTTGAAAAATGAAAAATGCAATAAACCGCCGTGTTCTGGGAGTCCTTTCTTGCGTGGTCGTAGAGGTAGAGAGAAAGCAACTTCTTCATCATCTGGTGCAGGATGTTCGTCATCTTCATCTTCATCTTCATGGAATACAAATGAAACTGATGTGAGTAGTTCCAGTCAACCGTGTGGATCCACATTGTCTAGTACGATGGAAAGAAAAGAATCTGAATGTGCTGGGAATAACGAGGCTGAACAAGTTCTTGACTCAACGACTAGTAATGGAAACGTACATGCATCACCTCCAGTTGGATCAACGGCAGATGTGGAATTGACAAAAAGTGCAGATATGCCTGACAGTTCTGAAGATGTAAACAAAAAGGTTTCAAGCCCTGGAAAAATTATATGTGCAGAGTCAAATGCAAATGAAGTAGAGGTAAATGGTGCAGAATCAAAGAGAATTGGAGACGCTGACAGCAGTAAGAGTGGGGGTGACAATGTATCGAGTAGTTCGTGTACTCCATTGGAAAATGGTGATGCAGGGCAGCAGGAACGAATAAGTAGTACTGGTAGAAGAAGAATTCAACCTGTAACATTGTACCATACTCTCTTAAAAAAAGAAAATGAAGATTCTGAGGAAGATGATGATGATGATGAAAATGATGAAACATTTGATGGAGTTCCAGAAAGGTAAAAATCGCTAATATGAAAATAATATCTCATTGTATGTATAAATCCGTATGAACACGTACCTTATACTGTATTTCTGATACTTAGTTTTAGCGATGAAGATGACACAGAAGATATTGATGAAGATGAAAGCGACGAGGATGAAGATGAAGATGAAGATGGAGACGGAAATATCGATGACGACGACGATGATGATAGTGAGGGTCTTATGATGGATACGGAAGAGGTATAGTTGTAGTTATAGTTATTAAAATCGTTTGATAATACAATATATAATTTACAATAATAAAGTTAAAGTAATGATTCTTCAAGCAAATGTAATTTGACAATAAAATAAAGTAAATAATTCATTTATACAGCCTGGTTATGACAGTGGATGTACTGCAGTTGTTGCAGTACTAAAGGGCAATGAATTGTACGTAGCAAATGCGGGAGATTCCCGTTGTGTTTTATGCAGAGATGGCCAAGCAGTTGAACTTAGTTTAGATCATAAGCCTGAAGACAAACCAGAAATGGAACGCATAGTGAAAGCTGGTGGAAAAGTAACCGCCGATGGCAGAGTAAATGGCGGTCTCAATTTATCAAGAGCACTTGGAGATCATGCTTATAAACAAAATGTTGACTTATCACCGCCAGAGCAAATGATCTCGGCACTACCAGACGTAACGCATATCACAATCGAACCCGAAAGAGACGAATTTATGGTGCTTGCATGTGACGGCATTTGGAACTTCATGTCAAGTCAGGATGTCATACAGTTTATTCGAGCACGTTTGACAAACAATTACGAGAATCTTTCAAAAATTTGTGAAGAGGTATTTAACATTCTCCCTAATAATATTTTCATATTTTTTTCTTAGACCATAATCAATATCAATTACTAATAAAAGTATATTTATTATAGCTGTTTGATCATTGTCTCGCACCTGATACCTGTGGAGATGGTACAGGATGTGATAATATGACAGCTGTAATAATACGATTTAAACCACCAGCCGATGCAGTAACAAACAGTACCACGGCAGAAGTATGCAGCGCTAAGAGGGCACCTTTGTCACCATCAATATCTACAGACGAAAATGACTGCGTTACGCAGGAAAATATAACACCCTGCAAGCGTCTTAAAACCGAAGCAACTATGTGAGATTTGTGTTAAATGTTACGAACTGATTTCTGGAAACAGATGAGTGAATGTGAATTTATGTAAAATTATGTAATTCTATAGAACTGTGGATTTCTAACGGATACTCGATGGCGATCAATACAGTTACTTCAAATAACATGTAAAGTATGTTAGCGCAGGCAATTGGTGGCAGACTGATGAGTTGGAGCACATGAGGATGATATTTGCATTTTACATTTTGGTATGATACTTTAATAACGTACAGTAGAACGTCGATTATTCGAATACCGATTATCTGGAATATCACTTATCCGGACGGGATTGTTTCCCAATTAGTTCGGATAATCGACGTTCTGTTGTAAATATATTTTTCTGTTGAATACAGTTGAGCGTTTCTTTCATTTTTTTAATTTTCTTTAGATTTAAAACCGAATAATTTTCAAACCTACTTCGTTACATCAATTATTAACGAGTAGTGTACTATACGGTCTAACGTTTTTATAATATGTACAAAATAAGTAAGGCAGTCGAACATAATTCTATACGATTAACAAAGTAATAGATGTTTCTCTTTATAAATACTTTCTATAGTAATGATAAGAAGATAAATATCAAACTAAAATCATTTACCAAGTCAGAGCCTTGTAAGATTTTACAGATAGCATAAG